AACAGCTAACGCTAATGCTAACAGCGAACGCTAATGCTAACAGCGAACGCTAATGCTAACACCATTTCACGGGGGAACTTTGGTGATATGGTCATTTAATTTTGTACATGCGGGGAACTAATAATTGACCGGAGTTTATGGATGACTAAGGCTGGGCTAAGGCTTCGATGTTGTGTTGTCTGTTGTTGTTTCTCAAAGCTAAGCCAAGGTAATGCGCAGTTATTGCCACAAAATGCGGCCGTATTTCTACAACAGCTGGGGATTTTTAACTAGCTAACTTGGTGAAAACCCGCATTACAGTCTCAGGCAACAATATGTATTAGGGGTGCAACGGTTTGAAAAAATCACGGTTCGGTTCGTACCTCGGTTCAGAGGCCACGGTTCGGTTCATTTTTCGGTTCATTTTTCTAAAAAAAAGTTTTGTCTTTTTAATAAACACAGCTCATGTGGACTCGGCACCTGCTCTGACTGCCCCCCCCCTGACCTAGAAATGAATTAAGGGGAAGGAAATGGATGGATGGATGGAAGGCATATTCCATCCATCCAATTATGTCTATTTAATCAATCAATCAACTTTATTTGTATGGCGCCTTTCCAACACAAGGCCACTCAAAGCGCCTCACAACCCACATAATATCACACAAATCAGAGACATCAATAAATACATTAAAAACAGAATAAAATCACAAGTAATGGAAAAAAATATATATATATTAAAAGCACACACGGGATTAAAATAATAAATAACCACAATGCATTAAAAAAAAAAAAAAGAGTATGTATCAATAAAATCCTTCAGCCGTATGCACAGCTAAAAAGAACAGTTTTTAGCCCTGATTTAAAAATTTAACATAATTAATGAAAAACAACACAAAGTGCAACATAAGAAGGCACTTTATGAGGATATTTACCCTCATATATTACACCACCTTCCTGATTCTCCCAAGGAGGGGGTCCATTCTGGGCCCAGCCTCATTCACTGCATTTATTTAATTTTTGGCATTATCAGTTGTGACTGGGATATTAGTACTGGGCCTTTGTCTTCCATTCCTCCGCTGCTTGTGTCAGTACCTGCGCTGTGTGACTGTGTGAATGTCGTAGAGGGGGCGTGTCTGCAGCGCCAGACTTCTCATCTCCCAGTCTGCGGTGATGAAGTGAGCGGTTCCGCTCATGGATCTATTATAGGTTCCGCGGGACGTCCGAGCGTCAGTCGTAAGCGCAGCTGAGGATGCGCGGGAGAGTTGACTTTAGCCTGGTCTGACTGCGTAAAGGAGCTGCTTAAATGCCGCGGCAATAAGTGGTCGTTGAGACGCTTTTTTTCACTCATGTCTTTCTTGTGCCACAGTATTTACACACTGTGACAGTTTTGTCGAATATTAATTATCAGTGTAGTTACAGTGAAGCCAAAATGCTCTCATACTGGTGATTTAAATGACGCGGGACTTTCAAGCATCTCCGTTCCTCCGCTCGCAATGACCGCGCTGTGTGTGGACTGAACAACGTGCGCACAACTTTTTTTTCATAAATCAAACCGCGGATCACGTCTGTACCGAACCGAAGACGTTGAACCGAACGGATCACGGATCAGTGATGAACCGTTGCACCTCTAATATGTATAAATAATACAACTACTACTGCCACTACTGAGTAACATGCTCACCTGTTCAGTCGGAGAGAGGAATCCACGGAGCTAGAGGTCACCAACATGAATGCAGCTGGTCACCATGTTGCTCCTACTTTTTGTCGTTCCTCTGTTTCTGGCGTTTTGCCTGTATTTAATAAATCCATGGTATTTAGTCTGCAGCAGCGCTGGAGGCGGCTTTTCCTTCTCCGCCATGTTTGTTTTGAAGAGTGCGCGTGCACACACGGGAGAAACCCCTTATAAGGCGTGCTCTCTCGTCATTGGATAAGCGCATAGGATGTGAGGTTTTTTTATTATATAGGTGGGAGAAGACTGGAAGGACTGAGAGATCCGTGTTTAGGTACAAACACTCTATATAAGTGATGGCTATTGGAATATATCAATATTTAAGACGTATGTTAACACCCAAAAATCGCTTACTGCTGCTTTAACAAATTGTTACACATATTTTGTTACTGAAGTATTAATTTCCCTTCATATTTTCTTGGTTTCAATGTGTTCAAAACAAGAGACAAGGAAATGTTATTCCTCCCCAGACTAAAAAATAACTTTCCTCACCTCATGCAGGTATTTTAATGTATTATTCTTGCAGTATTGGATGGACCGGTTATTTAAAAGTTTCAAGCCTTCCCCCATGCACCCCTCACAATTAGATTCACTTTTAATTAATTCTGTAATCTAGCCAAAAACGTACCAACTCCCCCTTTATTAGGAGCTCACCTGACTGTCCATGAAAAAAAAAAAAGTGTTAAATTTGAATTTTGAGTACAATATTACAATATGTATTTGATTAAAGTCACTGCTCTCCTTGTTATTTTTTTTTTCTAAATTCCAGATCTGCAGTTTCTAGCAAGATGATCCTAACATTTTACAAGCACATCACTTCTGGCTGCATTGTTGCTGTTAAATTTAATGACCACGTCTTTAAGTACCCCTCCCATCTTTCTCTTCGCCTCCATTCTCTTCTTTCCCCTCTCCCCGCGCGCCGAGCAACTCGATATTCATTCTTGCGTGTTTACCGCTGAAAAAGCCCCAGTATCATTCTATCCCGCTCTAATTAAAACTCCACAGACAGGCTAATTCATCTAATCTGCCGTATTAAAGCAGTGTGCGCTCTGAAGGCAGCACCATCATGTATCCAGGCTCTCGTACGCACCGCTTTCACCGCGCTCTCTGTCAGCAGTGGCATTCGCACCCCTCTTTGCCCCCACTATTTTACGCGCCTCCTCTGTCTTTTCTTTTTTTAATGAGCGCGCTGTTATTAGGGCTATAAATCAGAGCAATGGGTGTGATGTATAATTCACAGTGTGTACTCAGCCCCTCCCGCCCCTGGCCCAGAGGAAGCCCGCCGTGTATCACTGTCACGGGCGCGGAGCACTGCTGGTATGAGGAGAAGCCTGGATGACTAGTGGAATCTCTCACTGTACAGTATTTTGCTGCATCTTGTAGGGCTCTTTTACAATTCCAGCACAAGTGTTTTTTTTTAGTTCACTATACATGCACATGGAATTACGTTGCTCAGAAAACAAAATCAAACTCAGGCCTGGAATAGATACAAATAAGTTGCAAAGGAAATTATTCACAATTGATTGCGATTGAAATACAATAAGTAATTGGCCTTTGTAAAGAGCATTAAAACTAAACACTACAGTAGGCCTAAGAGCCGCTCAAGCTACAGTCACATACACAGTTCAATGTGGATCCTTGTTGGTACTATATGTGACACTTAGAGTGCTCCATTCATCAGCACAGGACACAAACCAACCGCAGGTCCAAAGTATAGATTGTATATAGATTGACAGTGCTAGCTGGGAAGTGCTCATGGGCGAAGTTTTGCTCCAACTCTCTTTAGGCTTCTCTCGCTCAGCAACTGTTTGTGTCACCCTCACCATTTTGGAATCAGTTTTATAGCGCTCTCTATGTTGCTGCTGTTTTCATTTAATAGTGTCTTTGTGAATCCAGATATGAGCCAAAATGATTGACTAAGCTGATGCTTTCAGTTACCTGGGTAAACTCCACTTTACCTTAGCAACCGTGTTAGTATCACGTTGGTTTACATCTAGGCGTGTAGGTCACTACACCGTAACAAATGACCATTTAAGGAATATGGCTTCCATAACTAGCTGCTGTTCAAATCAGCTTCTTCCACATTTGGAAAACAATGCATTACTTTTGCACTCCGTTAGTCCACTCATTCTACGGTCTATGGTCCAAAAGTGTTTTCACAAAGTGCATGTATACAGGGACTACGCACACACGCATCAGCTGCTCTCATCATGTTGTCTGTGGCAGAGGCATCTGTTTGCACATTTCAGACATATGCTAAATATTGTACAGGTCTTCTATATTAATATACTTGCCTTGTATTCTTTGGAGAATCACACACAATTTTCTTTAGTTTTAATTTTTTTTTAAATGTCTACTCACGTCTATTGTAGGTAACTAGACTAGAGTGACAACAACAGTTTGAAAACCCAAAAACATACACAATTCCAATATGCACTCTATTGTTGCAACTCGTGCAGACTCGTAAAAAAAACACATTCCAAACCTAATAACCCAACAGCATAAATCAAAACAATACACCATGCGCACCAAAGCAGCAACACCTCCCACTTTTATTACCCTTGCCTTCTCCTTCCACCAGCCACACGTCCCATTACCCCCCTCCCGACACTGTAGCCACAGCCCCCGATCGATACCCGCACCAGCCTGGAGATGAAGCTCCGTGACAGGCAGACTATGATATGAAAGAGATCCAATTGATCCACGCCCCGCCAGGCTCTGCTCCTCAAAAGACCATTATTCCATTACCATTGATCTGCTGGAGAGGAGGAGGCGGGGGAGTCTGAAAGAATAAAACACAGCCTTAGCCGCGACTAATAAAAATTGAACTCCAAGCGATTTCCACAAATGAGAATTTAAATAATAGCCCCACGTCACATCGTTATTGGTTTTTTTTCTGAGAGCAATGAAGAATTAATGCAACTTACTCAACTATTTCCCCCCCTACAATATAGCAAGTGACCGGTGCATTGCTTTGGGATTAATAAAAGTATAAATTAGAGGGTAGGATATTGATATTCTGTGCGCGCAGTCTTTCATTGGAGAGCATTAGTTTCGTGTGACAGACTACAGCCGCGAGGCGCAGTAAAATGCACTCCATGGAAAAAGGATTGATCTGAAGGGAAACATCATCTAATATTCATTTGATATTGTACAAAGGTTACTAGCCTCATTTGGCGCGCTCCATCGACTGCAAATGCGTTCCGTGGTCGTTACAGGAGTAGATTTACCCGCGTGAGAAGAGAGAAATATTATTTGTATGTAAAATGTGTTTGTTTGCTTTGTTCTGCAGCCCATCGGAGCGCTGAACCCCAAAAGAGCAGCCTTCTTCTCCGACCGCTATGAATCATGGGAGGACGAGCAAGTGCCCAAGTTTCACTACGGCACGCACTACTCCACGTCCAGCTTTACTCTCATGTGGCTGATCAGAATGGTACGTTTCCTGTGGTGTGAAATGTGAGCTTCCATACATGCACACCTCGTCTACTCATCTTTGTTCATATGTTTTACTTAGAAATGCATATGCTTATAGTCCAGGCGAAAAGTTAAGAATTAACAATAGGTATTTTTCACCATGAATTTTTCTATGAGATAAAATGTCATAAGAAATCCTTATTGGGAAAATATTTTTCATTTTCATCATTTACACTATGTGTGCAAATAAAGCTACACCATTCACAATAGAATATTAACACGCTGGAAGCATCCATGGAAAGTAACATGTTTTGTCTCTTTCCTCAACTCATATGACATTACAACTTGACAAGTTAAGTAGACATGGCAAGTAACCTGTCTCGCATTACACGTTTTTTCAAATTAAGTTTAATATAGATAGATAACTTTATTTGCAGACTCAAGGTCCAGAATAAACACAGACAAGAAAAAAATGTAATAAAAATAAACGTTAGACTATAAAATTCTCTAAACTTTCAAGAGGCAGTCATTCCAATGTTTCCAAAGCGGCAACGTGTAACATACCATGCTGCACACAACGTACAGTGAGGTTTTTTTGGCCATATAGGATTAGTGTTGAATTCATTTGCATATTGAAATTATTTAAAGAAAAGCATTTTTCATGCATACATTCATTGTGTAAAAAGCCTATTTAGAAAAGGCCAGGTGGAGTTATCTGGCCGGATTGGCACAAATCTTGTATGTCATTCTTGGACACCTCATAGAAAAAAAATACTTTTGAAATGCAAAACTATCTATATAGATATTTTTCCTGTTGTCATTTAAGAATAGACAAACGCAACAGGGTTCATTCCACTAATACAGCGTATATAGGCCTAAAAAAGTCGCTTCTTCCTGACCTTCTTATGGGCAACTTAAATTGATTCAAAATTTAGAATACATTATAAATAATAGTTTACTAACCTTGAAGCGCAATAGTTTTTTCAGGAAATCGATGTGATGCAGACAAAAGGCAGACATGATAAGTTAGTTTTGTGTTTATTTTTCATTTGATGGAATTGAAAATATGCATTCGTATAATTAGCACATTGAAAATGGTATTATGGAGTTACGCTGGTCAAGTCATCTAGCAACCCACTCATAAGCCAACCAGTGAATTAGAGTAGCAAAATTGTTGCTGCTCAGTCACAACACTAGCATACGAATGGCCCAATTTACTTCCTCCTTGTTAAACCAACCACTCTGCCATCTTGTGCGATTTTATTGGTTTTTGAAGAGGACAGTGGTAAACATTTCGCTGAAGTGCGCTCTTTTAGGACCTTTGTGAAATGGACGTCATCAATCTTTTTCTAGTGCACTCGGGGGACCGGGAGGTTACTAAGTTTCTCCTGCAGCCCACACTTTTGCTCCGTTATTGTCCCCGTAGCTCACTGTCTGTTGTGCGACTCCCAGTAGACTCTCCACATTGATCCTTGCACATCATTAGCTGGCTTACTCCTAATCCACTTTACCAGAAGCCCTCATGTAAAGAGCAAGACCAACATTACAACTGGGATGGAAACTGTATGGATGCTGCTATAAATACAAAGCCTGGGGATAAAATTGCCGCTAAACGTCGAAAATGGCTATTTGCATGGTTGCAATTACATAGGTGACTTATGTGGTCTGGTCTCAGTTTAAGACCCACTTTTATACTGTTTTAACACCACTTGTTGTCTTTGTATTTATTAATTGATTGATGTATTTTCATTGTTTTGGTGTCATCATTTGTTTCATTCATGCTTTATCATAATCATTTATTTCAATGTTTTACAATTTATTTGTCAAAGGTGTGAGTGAATTTTGTGCAGCTGTTAATGAAATTGTTGTAAAGTGTGCAAACAACACTATATCCAGTCTCCATGGGGGTTTATTACATGCAAAACCAGCTACTATGAAAGCATTAAGAAATGCATCAGTAATTCTTTAGAAATGAATGAATTAGTTTGTAATTTGATTCTTGTATTAGCGTTCACTTTTGTTCAATTATAGAATTTGTATATTTATTTATATACAATGTTTAAAATGGCAAAATACTGTACATTCACTTTAGGGAAATGGGTAAAACCTTGAAATATTCTATTTTTTGTGGAAAATTAAAAAAAGGCCCCATATGCACACATAGTTCTTATCAAGACCTTATAATAAGCTATATCTAAAATACTAGGATTGCCGTTTATATGGTGTCCAACATATGGCACCCATGTCACTTGAGAGCAGAGGCAACTATTGATCTGCCTTAACAAGATTATACATGATTAGAAATGCATCAGTAGCATCAGTGGATTGGCTTTAGTCGCTCACTGGGATTACTGGTAGCTAACTTGGTGAATTCATCTTGAAAGAGGAGTTTTCAAGCATTACTCAAGAGGCTATTAAAGGTTTAACAATGCGTTGGAGTCTATTAAACGGGAATTTGTTTGTAATTGACAGGAGCCCTTCACCACATTCTTCCTGAACTTCCAAGGAGGCAAGTTTGACCATGCGGATCGGACTTTCTCTTCGGTGTCCAGAGCATGGAGAAACTGCCAGAGGGACACGTCGGATGTCAAGGTACAGAGTTGGGAAATTAATGCAAAATATAATGTGGCTTCTCTATGAAGCTGGGTCAGAAAACTCTGAAGATGGTATAACCTGCTTTGCATGAAAACCATCTAAAGCATTAGATGTAAAGCAATTCCAAATGAAGTAGTCAATACATGATTTTGTATTCAGGAAAAAATCTGATGAAATAATAGAAGCCATACTACAAAAATCTTTTGGGATGTAAGTTTGCGATTAGGGGTGTTAATGTATTGCAAAAAGAATGTTCACTCAACGTCTAATTGCCTAAAAATCTTCTCTTGAGCAAAAGGCTTCTACTTGCTGGTGTGTAATCTCGTAAACGAATACTACTGCCAGCTAATGTGTATTCGAGTCTTGAGAGTAATGTCTTGTGCACAGATGCGGTTGATCATGTTTGAATATGATATGCTCAAATTATTTGTGGCCATACCTGCGAATACCTTGTAAAGCCAGATCCTATCAGACCTCTTAAGGTAAGCATGGCAGGGCCTGGTTAGTACATTGATGGGAGACTTATGGGAAAACCAGGTGCCACAGTGGGGCGGCTGTGACTGTAAAGTGCCAAACTGTTGTTGTGTACTTCACCCACATTGCCTGGTGTGTGTGTGAATGGTTGGTGGTGGTCGGAGCGGCCGATGGCATACTAGTTGCCTCGCTTCTATCAGTATGCCCCAGGGCAGCTGAGGCTACAGTTGTTGTTTATTACCAACGCGTATGAAGTGAATGAATATTGACGCGTTTATATTATACATAATTATTATAAAACATAATGTTGCATAATTTCTTTTGGGAAAATTCTGCATATACTTTAGTATATATAGCAATTTTTACAATTGCAGTACCAAAGTGTTAGTGATAAGTAGTGCTGTCCAATGATTTAAATTTTTTTTTTTATTGCTATTGATTGCATGAATGTCATAGTTATTTTTTAAATTATTTATTGATTAAACAGAATGTGTATCATATTTCTGTGATACATTTTAAGAGTATAACTAACAGCCCTCTACTTTTCAGTTCTGCATGACTTGGTATCCGGGTTTATAGCTTATAGTCGCTGATCAGGCTGTGGGCATCACACTGGAATAAATCCCCACTCTGCATTTCTGAGACAAAAGTAGTAAAGCCTTTGAAAGAGTAATGTCCAGTCTGTTCCAATCATTGTCCTGTGCGCTGTCAAACTTCCTCGCTCGTCTGATCAAAGCACTTTTATAACCCTCCTCTGTCCTCTGAACTTGTCTCCCGTTCACTTCGCCATAACCCGGGCCACTGACCCCCAAAAAGCGCCCAGGTCGGTCTTATTCTGTGCACCCAAGAACTCCCAGTGCTGCATTTTAACCACTCTTTTAAAACATTTATGACTACATTTGAAACATTCCGTTCCGTAATGAACCGGGCCCGCGGCGGGTCACTGCGCGGCTATCTGCGATGTTGCAAGCCTTGGCCACTTCATTGCGCGTTGCCTGTGCTCTCCCTCAGCGCGCATACATACACGTACGTGCCTGCTACCAAACTGCTAAACATATGGATTAGATTACAATGGTACTGGCCAGCTCTTGATTGTGAAAGTCCAACCAGAGCCCTCATTTGCTCCCAGAGTCTAGACCTGTCACAGCGGATCGAAATGCGAGCGCTCAGCCTCAAGATCAAAACAAAAGGCCAAATCTGGACCGCATCACTCCTGAGTCCAGCTCCAATTCACGCATATATTTGAATGACTGTCCGGCAACTTCATGCGCTCGGAGACACACATTCAACTCCGAAGCAAAGAAGGAATTATGCCTGAGATGTATCAATTTAGCATGCTAAGTATTCCATTTAGCATTTGCGCCGCAGCCATTGATAGCGGTTCTCAATGTTTTTTGCGAGGCCACTTCTATAGTCCTGGTGATAATGGGCTACAACACCCAGGCTCAATGCGTCACTAGCCTGGGTGACGCGAGCCTGACCTCCAGTTCCCAATCCCCTCACCTTTGACTTGGGCCCAGAGGCGTCAGAGGGGAGGGGGTGAGAGAAGCAACAGTGTTAGTGTTGCAGTGTGGCCAAAAGGCAAACTGTTATTTTTCCAGGCATTTTATGGCTTGTCATTTTCCTCTGCACTGGGTATCCATAACTTTTCACTGCTGCCAGTACATGAAAAGGCTTGTCAGAAAAGTAAGTGGCAAATTGAGCTAGCACCTCCCATCTTTAAAGATGAGGTACGTAACTTTTGTTTTTCTTTTTGTTAACAGAAAAGTCTTGAAAAAGTAAAAATGCCATTGGTATACTGGTATACTAGAAAGTGCGAGAGTGAGGAATGACCTCTCCTCCCCAGATTTAAATCTGAATTTGCAATAAGGCATTTAAACAAAGCCATAATGGTCCCATGGAACGATGTGTTTGCACACAAAGGAGTTATATTTTCTGCCTAGCAAGTCACAAACACTATCAATAATATAAATGTCTTTTTATAATAATAATAATAATGCATTGGTTTTATATAACGCTTTTCAGGACACTCAAAGACGCTTCTTATGTAATTATTCTTTCACTCTATACACGGTGGTGATGAACTACTATTGTAGCCACAGCTTTCCTGGGGCACACTGACAGAAGCGAGACAAACCAGACTCATTCGAAGCAATGTGGGTGAATTGTCTTGCCTAAGGACAGTTTGGCACCTTACAGCCGCAGCCGCCACACTGTGGCACCTGGTGTATCTACTGTGCTAACCAGGCCGTGCCCCGTACAGCTTTAGAGGTCTGATGGGATCTGGCTTTAGCATGCTTGGCCACTCGCGTAGATCTATACATGTTGGTAACTTACTTTGCTCAGAATTTATCTGTTTTTGCTCATTTCCTCTTGTAAAGGACATAACAATAGGGCCAAAAGTAAATTTTTTGTAAACGTAACTCTGTGATATACTCATATTGCTGTATTTTTGGTCACAATAATCATACCCTGAAGATGTCATACTAGGCCTGTAATTATCATTTATTTTGATAATGAATTACCATTAACCACTTGTTTAGTTGTTTAGTTCCTGAAAGATCAGTAAGTATACTTTTTTATACATTTGGCCAAAACAAAGCTGAAGTGATGATCCTAGAGAACATCTAAATAGAGATGACTTGTAACGCATTGGTGTGTTAGATTAAAATGACTTGGTAAACACACATTATTATTTCATTCTGTAGTCACTATAGTATTATTAAAGTAAAAAAAAGACACTTTGCGTCAGTCTATGGAAGGTTGAAAATCAATATCAATTCATCTATTTTATATAATATATTAACTCCAGTAAAGCACAGAAAAAATCCACACCCATGAAATGTTAGGAGAGGAATAAGCTAAAACCATTAGTGAAGTATGAACCTTTTAAAAAGTGGAAAAAATGGGAGACATACAAAAAAACTTCTAATTTATTACTTCCTGCTCCTGAAGTGAAAGATAAAACCAACTCTGCAAAAAGAACAAATGTGTAGTTTTCATAATGAGTAACACGGCAGAAAATGACAAGTTTGACCTGTGGCCTGGACTGCAGAGAGGGCATCAGAGAGGGGACAGAGGGGGCCTGAGCTGCAGTGGTGGAAGAGCAGCGCTTGCATACGCCCAGGGGCCAGAGCCTTGCACTGACCCATGACAGGACAGGATTTTGGATCAGAGGGGCCTGGCCTCTGACCGGGCCCCAGCTCAGGGGCCACTGCGCATAATGAAGCATAGGAGAGATGGCCCCTGGAGGTCTGTGGTTTGTGTGCTGTGTACACTGCAAAATTAAGTTTAGGCCTTTGTCAAATTAAGACCTTTGTAATACATCAATAACATTCTTGTCTTTAGATTTAGATCTTGGGTCCAGCGTTCAAAACTGTTGTGTGATTGTGTTTGATTGGTTTTAGTATATCTTTAAGATTTTTGATTTCACATTTATACTTTATGACAGTACTTTTCAATGACAACCTCTATTTGTAGTGTAACCAATATGTTTTAACACAAAGGTCCACACATTTTAATTTGTTTTTGATCAGAGAAGATATTACAAATTTAAATGTATTTAAAAGGAATTTGTAATGTAACAACTTGTGGTATATTGCAGACATAATCATTATAATAATCTTTCAGAAAAAAGTAAATAATAGTGGAAAAAATTGCTATTAACAATCTATATTATCATACTCCAGAAGGTGTTGGAAAAGCAATGAAATAAGTCAAACTTAAGGAACACATGCATACAAGTGTTGAGGTCTGATTTTGCAGTGTAGCTTATGTAGATTTACAGCAGTGGGCAGCGGTCGTGGGGCCCCTGAGCCTGAGCCTGAGCCTGAGCCTGGGTTAAGAGCTTGACCTGAGGCTCAGGGCAGACTTTGTGGACTGAGGAAGTGGCCTGTTGTTTTAAACCTATGTGTTTGCTTGCTCGTTTGATTAGAGGTTTTCACTCAGTGAGAGCTGATGTGTTGTACGGCTAATCAGATAAGAAAGGAAGTACGTGTTTGTTGACAAGTATATTAGGTTTTTGAAGTGAAAGAACATTTGAAAAACACACTGTATTTGTTTGACTGATGAAGAGAGTGGTGTGGCTTACATTAGAATGCATTGCATATTAATGTCTTTTCTCACCTGTTTTTGGTATTTTTGTTGCCAAAATAAATCTTAATACTTTCTCAAAAATGCCAAGTTTGATTGTGTAAATAAACCAAATATATTTCCACCGTACCTACATGTCCATCTAACGAGGATCTATTATGTTTTAGAATTTGAGTTTTTTCAGAAGTGTTATGTAAAATGAACAGCATAGTGAAAGCAAGTGTAAAAGTATCTGAAAGCATGTAGAATAGACTAGAATATCTCCGACATTGCCTCTGATAGTGGTTTAGTTCAATTTCAGTCATGACAAATAGTAAATACACAGCTACATCTCCCAGCAATAGTGCCTATTAAGTTATTTTTGTCGAAGCAAATGCACTTAAATGCATCTGACTGCTTATTTCTCTGTTGTGTAAGGAAAAGAGACAAGTAAATCTCAGGCCACTTTTATGTGGGGTTCAAATGTAAACAGTATAAGAATGAAAAGCCACTGTAGAAAGTTTGACAGTGTTTGCAGTGGCACCGCACAGAAGTAATCTAATCCACCAATGTCATTTCCAAGAATTATAGCAATGCAATTTATGCTTTTCCTGCCTTTTCATGCCAAACTTGTCACTGAATATATAATGAAGCGTGCTGTTATGTACTGCAGGAGCTGATTCCAGAGTTCTTCTACCTCCCAGAGATGTTTGTCAATGCAAACAGTTACAACCTGGGAGTGATGGAGGACGGATCTGTGGTCTCTGATGTGGAGCTGCCTCCCTGGGCCAAAACACCAGAGGAATTTGTCCGCATCAACCGTCTGGTAAGACTACACTAAATCCTCTGTGACTGCTGCTTCATTTCTCATTCCAAAAGAGATTTGACTTGTGTTTGGTCACATTATGTTGTTATACTTGTTTTCAATCCTCAATCTAAATGTTATGTCATATTCACACAGTTCAATACATTTCTATTGAAACATCCTCAAGACATCCAATCTTTGCTTTCCATTGCAGAGATGATTACAATGGAACTAATCCTTGTTTACTTTCGGTCTGGAGAACTAGTGAATTGTCTGAATTTGCAACTGGCAGAACCACAGCAGTTTACATGTTGTGTTAAGGAGGCTTGGGCAAGGACCAGACACTTTTGACATAGTCCATAAAACATCATGTCTCTGCATCAAACCAGACAGGGCCTTCCTTGGAGGAGCTTGCATGTTTACCCTGTATCTGCGTAGGTTTTCTCCAGGTGCTCCAGCTTCACCTACCACTACCAACATGTACAATAGGTGTGAATGTAATGTGCTACTTTGAACTTTCATTGGCCCTGGTGTTCAGCGTCCCGCATCTGTCATCACCCTTCCTGGAGTGGATGGAAACCGTAAAGCACTTTGTGTGACCTTGGTCTGATTACATACTTCTCAGTCCAAACTGGGGCCAGCTATACCAAAGACAAGATATGAACAGAAAGCCTGCCCACCTTATCAGGAGCTTGACAAAGATTCATAGCTAGCTAGATTTTACTATATTTTGTGGTGAATAATAGTGTAAAATAATAACATTTTGCCAAATCTTATATACTCACTCATGTAAGATATAACAGAATTCCTCAATATGCCATGACAACAAGATTTTAAAATACATGAAGTTCAGTCTCTGCACTCCAGGTTTTTATCTGAATACGTTAATTGAAAGAGACAGTGTTATTTCCTGCCCGTCTCGCGGCTCTTCCTGTTACCTGAGCCTGGATCCTTCTACATGATTGCTGTGTCGGCTGAGTGACCCCGCACGACCTCGTCTCCATCGCCGCCTCCCTCCTGCTCCACGCCACGTACCAAACTGATGAGACATTATCGAGTTTCTGATTCCTCTGCCTCTTCAGCGCACGTCCACCTCAGATTGGCTGTCATATTTTGATTGCAGATGTGTCCTCCCGGCTCATACATACTCTTGTTTCCCGGTGAAAACAAGGCGAGTCTTCAGATCAGATTACCTCGCTCTTTCTCAGAAGGTCATAAACACCACATAGATTTACTGTCTTGGATAAGTTGCGCCTGAACCACTTGTCATCTTCACTTAGATGTCGCTTCTTAAAAGCTTTGAGTTACGCCAAGGTCAAGATTCAAGAGCTTGTCTGTGATTAGGAAAGAATGCAGCTACAAATCAATAACGACTTTTTGTTTTCAGTGTATTGTATGTTTAGTAATAATTTGTTAAAATCTTACATGAAACTAATTTATGAACATTCATTACACAGAAAGTGAGATTTTTCAAGCCTTTCTTTGTTATAAAGTTGATAATAATGGCTCACAGATAAAACAAACTAAGTCATAATCCTCAACATTATAACAAAGGCTTGGCACACATCATTTTGTAAGGATTATCATATATTGGTTTCACATTTTGAACAATACTTTTGTACAATATTATTGGCAATCAAACAGCACAGTACGGTGGAGCAGAGGTGGGACAGCAGTTTCCTCCGAGTGCTCTGCTCCCGGCGTTTTCCCTACCACTAAAAATATTGTACCTACTCAAGGGGGGATGAGTGTGTGTTTGTGAGTGCGTCTGTGGGACAACGGATGTAAGGTGCACATGCACTGTCCTAACCAAATAAACAAAACATAAAATAAACAAATTGCAGACAAATTAAATGCAAAAAATGTATACTTTATAATTTAAGCTTTAAAAAAAAATCTATAGTCTGTTCTAATCTATTAGCAAGTGTATCTTCCATAGAGATACAGTAATAAGTCAGTAAGTAAACACCAATAGATCCATATTTATCACTTATCAATACTGCATGGCTTTCTTGCCATATGATTTCATTACTAAATTGTATGCCCATAATTATTTGTATGCCTCATGATGAGGCCTGATCCTTTTGGGTGGGCTCGCTGAACGCTTCACTGCTGCAATGGGCAATGTTAAACAGCACTGATGAGTCCAGGACCCTGCCATTAATCACAGCTTTTGGCTCCGAAGTCTGGGCAGGCCTGACAACAGACTGGACAACAGACACAGGACACTAAAAGCATCTGGTAAAAATGGTTATTGATAGATTTGCCATGCAAAAGAATCTGCACTATGTAACACTATCTTTAATGCCAGAAATGAAAACATTCACTATTCACCTTTACTGGTGGCTGATAGCTCTGTATGCACTATTATTTGACTCTGGTCCTCTGCTTTTTGAATAATATTTTTCTGATTTTCTGTCAAACATTTTGTCAACACATGCATGCAGTTTTGACCACCCTCACTCAGCCAATCAGCTCTCACCAGTGTGAATGGCACCAGTGTTACTCTAATATGCACATGTGCGCCATTGCAAGGGGCCCATGCCTACATAAAACTCTGTCCTGCACACAAAAGAGAAATCCTGTGCTGATACCAAAACGACGCAGTAGCGTATTGGTACAGTGTATGGACTTTGAACTAGTAGAACCAGGCTCGGTCTTGCGGCGGACTTTCAGATTCTATACTAGCTGCCATGGTGTGTGCGGCGATTTACTTTGGCTTAAATATAAATTGAAGATTTTTGTGTGGAATCATGAAAATGTTAATTAATTCAATTCAGCATCAATAAGTACTAGACATTTAAATGCAGATGCATCAGGGTAAATATTGAACCAATTTGTATTGTTTGTTGAGGCTGATGTGTCTTAAAATAATTAACTTGCTCACTGGGCTCAAAGGAGCTTCTCAGGTAGTTTGTGTTTCAGGCTCATGAAAAATTAGAGGGGCCATTGAATAGCACTTATGTTTCAGTCTGTTTTTATATTTTGATATTTTTTGTTTAAATAATTTGATAGTGTTTTTATAATCATATAACATGTCGACCATCTATATTTGTACTATTTGCCCTTGTGCTCTTCCAGTATGCATATGTGGCCCGGTCACAGATGAAAGTCTTTGCCTGGCTGTAGTGTAACGCTGTGTGGGCGGACAGCACTGAGGTGGTGACAGATCACTGGCATTAGCCCCGTCAGATGGCGACTGTGGCTGGGTCTGCAGAGAGCCGAGAAGAACCAGGGGAAGACTCTAAGCTAATGGCCTGTTTGGCTCGCTTATGCTCGTATGTCGCTAATGGCTCCTGCGCACAACACAAGGATAAACAGCAGGAGCAGGCACGCATACACTAGTGCTAATGCTAACGATGCTCCGCTTATGAGCCCGACATGATTAAGAGCTAATTAGGGCCCAATCTGGAAAGGCCATTAAAAAGCTCTCACAGTAAAGGATCACGCCACTGTGCAAAACGGCCGCTTGTTTTTGTTATGAGTGAGCTTCAGTGTCAAGGATGAGAAATAGACTCGGGTATAAACATTATGGCAAGTGTGAGCTGGGTTTGTAGTGCTGTGCATCTGTGAGTGTTCTGCTGCAGATGTCAGTCGGCTCTTCCCACATGTATTTGCAGCTTTTCTAGTAGTACTGCTTGTGATTGTTATAATCATGATACACAATGAGCTGCCGTAAAGCTGCAAGTACAGAAAATACAGGCTATTGGATTATATTTATTTTGATGCTCTTTACCAAATATTCTTTACTTTACAAAATGCAATAATTTCTAATTTAGATCATTTCGGAATACTGGTTTGCTTTACATGTTCAGTGTCAAGCACCACCGCTTGACACTGGACATCTCAGTTTTTACAATTAACTCAATGCTGTATCACGGATCACATTTTTTGACCATCCATCCGTCCATGTTCTTCCGCTTCATCCCAATTGTTGCAGGGCATCAGTCTAAGCAGAGACGCCCAGACTTCCCTATCCACACACACTTCCTCTAGCTCATCCAGGAAAATCCTTAGGCGTTCCCAAGCCAGAGAGACACATGTTAACAATTTTTACTAGGTTTTGTCAAGCATAGTTATAACAAAATGAGAATGTTTACAAAGCAATTGTGAAAGTCGGATTCTTCGCCTAGTTCAATTCCAATTACTGTTCCAATGTTCTAGCGTTAAGGCAAAGTTACAAACATCTATGAAAGCCTCTCATGGATCCAGCTGCTCACCGGAGCGTAGGTAGACTGTGACCAGAGTAGTCCGACAGGTTTGAAAATGATGAGATATTTTTTGCACATGTCGTATTCTTATGCTTTGTAAATGTTTGATAACGTTTGTTTCGGACACAAATGTTGTATTTGTTTCTCTGATTAGTCAACTTCTGCAATCAGTGTATTATTTTGATCAGCTTGAATGCTCTTTGAACGTACATTACATCCATCTGAGTACAGTTCACATTGTTTCCACCCTGACATGCCCACTACACTCTTAAGTCTTTCTTGCAAAGTCACACTCCCCATTTCTTGGCCCATCAAACACTGAGGTGGAGACAGCGGGGTCTCCTGGCGGCGTGCCACAGAGATCAGGGGCTTCTGTTGTTTTTACCATAGGGTCGAAGGAGAGGTTAAGAACTTGATCCCTCCTCCGGCAGATAACTACATGTCTCTGTGCTCTGTCAGCCTCCCGACACGCCGCCGCTTATGAGTGTGATAGCAGGTGAGCTGTTCTGCAAGACACTGTTTACCTGTGCTGTCGTTGTGCAGACTTAGTCGTAAGCCTCCCATATGGATCAGTCTAAACCACAGGCTCTTTATGAAACATCTGCATGATTTAGGACACCGTCTGCTCTACATGGTGCCATAGATGAGAGGAGGGAACATGCGGTTTTAGGCAAGACGGTCAACCAAAGCTTAGACTGTCTTTTTTGTTTTTAAAGGATTTTTTCCAGGAAAGGACACATCTATCATCTTCTCGTGAAACAATAAATTAAGCTTACAAATGGTTTTAACCGCTTCACAGGAAAGTTCCTA